GGGGGGGGGGCGTCAGGGCCACAAACCCGTCCTGCCATGGACGTTAGCTGCCCGTGGGCAGCGCGTGCAGCACCTCACATGAACCCAGCCCCTTGCCCCCAACTCTGACCTCCTTGGGGGGTGGGGACGATGTCTTGGAGTTCCCTGGGGTGAGGAGTAAAAGGAGAAAGTGTTCCAGAAATGTCCCAGGCGGGGCCTGGGGTTCGGCAGCTGTCCTCGAGGGGGGGGCAGGATGGGCCGGCACAGGTGGCTGCCAGGGCCACCGGCTACTTTTAGCTCTGCTCCTTCGGCTTTGGGCCCAAGTGCATGCGGGACGCTGCTCCCCAGTTTGGCCTGGGGTCCCTCGACCCGAAAGCCCCCTTCCCGTGTCCCAGACATGAGGCCTGGTCACCAGGGGCTGTCCAGGACCCCTGCCCGACTCCAGCCTTCCTTCTCCCGGCTCCACGGAAGCCCCACGGGGGGGCTGTTGGCGGCCCCCAGCCCCCAGGTCCCCACCCTGGGAAGTCCTTCTGCTAGCCATCTTGAGTAATGCCTGTCCCCGGCCTCGGTTGGCCCTCCGGCCTCACCTAACGTCTGGGCAGCAGCGCTGGGAGAGAGGTCAGGCCGGCAGTGGCAAGTTGGGCTGGTGGGCCCGGGGGAGGGGTATAAATGGACTCCCCCAGGCTGGGCCCCTGCTCGGAAAGGGCATGGAGCCCTCCTCAGACCAATGGGGGCACAGGGACCTCCCCACCTGCCCAGGCTGCCTGGCCCGGCCCAGCCGCGTGCCGCCGTCCAGTCCAAGAAGTCTTGGGGGGGGGGTACTGAGGTTGGATTGCTCTATTTAGGGATCTCTGACGAGTTCAGGAAGACTCCTGGTTCTCGCTCGCAAGGAGCCTGGCCGGGCCGTGGTGGGGTGCAGGGCTCAAGGGTCTCTGGGGGCCCCGGGAGCCTGGCCCCATCTGGTGCTACATCAGGGTCCACACTGCTGGTTCCCCCTGGGGACCGGCGGCCGCCTTTTCTGCAGCTCACAGTCCCCTCTCAGCCCAGCAGGCGCCTCAGCCGCGAGCTGGCTGGGCCTCCCTTCCTCCAAGCCGGCCGGGGCTTGCAGCAGTGGTGGGGGTCTCTGGGGTGCGGCTGCCCTCCCCTGGGCGGGATCCTGCCTTCCGTGCTCTCTGGGGAACAGGAGCGGGGGGGTGCTCTGGACGTGCTGCCGTGCCAGGGACGCCCTGCCCGAGGGCCGTTCCTGCGCAGCTCGAAACACGTCCCTCAGCGAGAATGGTGACACCACCCGCCTGAAACCCTCCCTGACCCGAGGGGCTTGGGGCCCAGGCAGGCCCTGCATTGCCCTTCTCACCCCGGATGGGGCCTGTGTCCCCCGCCCGGGCCCCCACCCAAGAGAGGCATCTGGAGGACCATGACTTGGCACCCTCTGAGCTGGGGTGCGGGCCCCAGCCCTGCCTGTGTCTCGGCCGTGGGGAGGGTCAGGGAGAGCTGAGGCCTCCAGATGTGTGGGGGATTAGAGCTGCGTTCTTTCCCCGGCCAAGCTGAGCCCCCAGAGGCCCCAGCAGCTTCCGAAGGCATCTGCTGCCCCCTGCTGCTCGCGCAGAGGAGGCCCTGCAGCCACTTTCCTGTAGGTTTTGGGGCCCTGCGAGGAGTTTGGGCAGCCGCTGCAGTTAGGGTTCCTTCCATCCGCCATCACCACCCCCCCAAATGCTTTCTGATCACCCACCATGTGCCTGTGGGGCCGTCTCTAGCTCACCTCCCCTCACGTCATCCCTGACGCTCCCACCACCACAGACAGGAGGGCTCCCCACCTCCCGGCATTGTCCCCTTTGGGTGTGGAGGAGCCCCCCTCCACTCCACCCAGGGGTCAGCCATTGGTCAGAGGCCTCAGGACCTGGCTGAGTCTAGAAAAGAAACCTCCTCCTTGCCCTTGGGAGGGGCCCCTGACCCTACTGTGTCCCCAAGGACTCAGAAAAGACACGTGGAGGTGGTGGGAGGAAGCCTTTATTGCAGTGGGCCCCCAGGGGGGCCTGGACAGGTGCCCACAGCCCAACCCAGGGAGACTGAGGCACTGGGACGCTTTCAGGAGCCGGGCAAGGGCAGGCGTAGGCGGGGCTGCAGGGCCAGGGCCTGGTCCACCTCCCTGGGAGGCCTCAGGCGGTGCCACTGGGTGACGGGCCGTCGAGCATGGGCCAGCATGTCTGCCCAGTGCTGCAGGGGCTGACCAGAGGCCCGGGCGCCGAGCGTCACCTTACCCACCGGCTCGGCCCGGAGCCGCAGGCCCCGGGCCCAGACAGCCAGCACCAGGTCCACGTTCTGGGAAGAGAGAGACAGTGGTCAGTCTGGCCCCCAGTGAAGACCCACCCTCCCCCTTCCTCCAGGCAGCTCACCTGGATCTGGCTGAAAGGCACAAAGAAAGCGAAGGCCTCGTTGAAGTAGGGGGCAGCCGTGCCCTTCCTGGCAGACGTCTTTCTCTTTTTCCATTTCCTCCGGTTCAGCATGAGCTGGACCTTCACGTAGGGTTCTGAGCAAGCAAACGGGGTTGGAGGGCAACGCAGGTCTGAGAGCCGAGCCCTCAGGCCCCGCTCTGTCCACACGGTGTGGGCAGGTATGGTCCTCACCTGCCAGCCCTGGGCTCAGGCCTCGGGCCTCCAGCACAACCACAGTCAGCCGGCCTGAGCCAGGCACGTACTGAAGCGACAAGCACAGCTCCCCTGTCTGCTCAGCCTGCGGGCGGCGAGAGGGGGCCTCAGGCTCCCTGCTGGCCCCAGACCGGGCCGAGCTGGAGCCTGGTGGTCAGCAGCCTCACCTCGGTGGTGCCCGGCGGGCCCAGCTGGTGCCAGAGCTCCAGGACGTGCCTCAGGTCAACGGCGCCCAACGGCAGGCTGAGCTCACCCAGTGGCTCGTGCCGGGAGAAGCGCCTGAAGTCCAGCAGCTGCACCTGCAGGGTGGTCCGAGGCAGCTCTGCAGGTGGGACCTGCAGGCAGGGTTGTGAGCTGGGCCCTGCCCCCTGGCCCAGGCTCCCTGCCCACCGGGCCCAGACTCACATGGAAGTGGCAGGTCTCATCGAACATGGGGCTGAGTGTGCCACGGTGCACCTTTGTCTCATGCCTGTGCCCGGCCTGGGTGGAGAGGCTGACGCAGGCGTAGGGGTCTGCTGTGCCGCTCGGGCCCCTGGCCCTCAGGTCCACTGCTTGCTTGAGTCCCACCCTGATCTGGAAGACACGGGGTGGCTCAGCCAGGTGCTTTCCCTGGTCAGCCCCGCACCCAATGCCCAGTGCCCAGAGCCCAATGCCCAGCACCCAGCGCCCAGAGCCCAGCACCTAGCACCCAGCGCCCAGCACCCAGCATCCAGAGCCCAGCGCCCAGCACCCAGCGTCCAGAGCCCAGTGCCCAGCACCCAGCACCCAGAGCCCAGCGCCCAGCAATCGCCCTTCACCCACCACCTTTCCACAAACCCACAGATCCTCTGGGAACGCAAAGTGGGGTCCTTACCTGCTGGCTTCCCGCGTCATACTGCAGGGAGAGCTGCAGGCGGCCCCACTGCGGGGGCCCCTCTGGGCTGGACTCCACATTACCCAATTCCGGCTGCACCTGGGTAGGCAGGGACTGCTGACGGGTGCTGCTGGGACCGTGCCCCCATGGGAGCCCTGGGCCTACCAGGCAATGGTTTCAGGACTTGGGTCAAACTACCCATCTCTGGTCAGGCCACTGGAAAGACTCACACCCTCAGCTCAGCTCTGAGACCGGCCAGAATTAATGGACCTTCCCCACGTTCATCTCTGGCACCGCTGCTTTCCTCAAGAAACTGCTTTGGCACCCGTGGCACATGGCCCAGCCCCTGGGGCTGGCACACCCGGCCCTCAGGCCCTAGTCCCACCTGCCTCTTTGTCACTGTTTCCTTCTCCCCTCTGCTCACGGCCTTCCTGCCAAGCGGGCCCTACGGCCCCTGTGTCTGGGCAGACCAGCCAGCCCTGGGGCCGAGCTCGCCCTTGACAGCGCTGGGCCACCCTGAGCCCCTGAGCCTGGACCTTGAGCTGCCCTCTGGGACTGACCCAGCTGGGAGCTGGGCACTGACCGGCACTGGTCCCCATGGCTCACCAGGTGGGTGGTGGTGCTGCTGCGGGCGCTGCCCAGGCCCACAGCCTCCTTGTCCCTGGGCTCCCTCCTGCGGTGTCGGCGGCAGCAGTAGCAGAGGACACAGAGGAGGCAGGAAACAACGAGGACACCGACAACAGCAGCAACGGTGACGATCGCCCAGCGGGGCCCTGGGGCGGGCACACGGGTGGGCCTGAGGCGCCTCTGTGGCCAGTGGCTGTCCTCCACCGGGCCAGGCCATCCCCATGCCCCTCCCGGGATCCCACAACTCACAGGGGATCCTGGCGATGAGGTCGGGTATGAGGCCGGGTTCAGCGGTGGTGCCCACCGGGGCTGGGGTGCTGTAGGGGTCTGAGGGGTGCCCCATCTCCCCACCCTGCTGGCTTGGAGGAGACGGCCAGGTCACCTGTGGGGAGGGCCCCTCGGGCCCCTGTCCACTGCCCCATCAGCCCGGCAGCAGCCAGTGTGGGTTTGCCTGGGCAAGGAGGCAGCCTGGGGTGGCCAGGAGTGATGGTTCTGAGTGGCGCTCAGAGGCGGGAGGCCCTGGGCTTTGGCCACGATGCCGGCTCAGCCGCCACAGGCCCAGCCTCCTGGCTACCTCCCCAGCCGCATCCCTAGCCAAGCAGGCCGGGCCTGGGCCGCCTGGGCCCTGCCCTCGCTGGCCCTCCTGCAGAGCCTGCCCCCTCACTGCAGGGCCTTCTCCCTGAGGAAGCCGCCTCGCTCCCCCGGCCCAGGGCCCGGCCTGGGGGGCCGTTGTTGGCGTCTCGTCTCATGTCTGCCCCGACCTCAGGCCCACCGTGGTTTGCCCGTCACACCGGTGGACCGTGTTCACACGTGTGAGCCCCCGGCCTGGGAGTGACCTGGGAGCATGGTGATGGGGGCTCAGAGGGGCCAGGGGTCCACTGGGGTCATGGGGGGAGCAGGTGGGGTGAGGCGTGGGGCTGGCTGCCGATGGGAGCTGGTCTAAGCAGGCTCGGGATGAAGGTGCGTTCCTGGCACGGGCGGGCCGGGGGAGCAGCACCTGGGGAGGAGGGCCCGGTGGGGGCAGGCAGGGGCAGGGTGTAGCTGGGAGCGGCCAGAACATTCCTTGCAAACTGACTCAGCAGCCGCTGGCCCAGACCTGCCTATCTGCCACCCTTAGGCGAGGGGGTAGGGAGAAAGGCGGGCCAGCACAACCCCCCTGCCTGGGGCCTAGGGAGGGTGCACACCTGGCCGGGGCCGGCTCCTCCCACCCATGGCAGGGACCCAGGATTTCAAGCTGGGGGCCCAGTGCCACAGCGGGGTGCACTGTGACCCACAGGCCCACAAGCAACTCTCTGGCTCAGCTCCTCCTGGCCTCCCCCTCCTCTGGGGAGCACTGGCAGCCAAGAGGCACAGTTCCTCCAACCTGGGGCTCCCCCTCTTTGTCCAAAAGAGCCTGCCACCCTTCTCTTGACTTAGGGACCCAGCCCAGGTCACCCCCTCCAGAAATGACCAGGCGTTGGGGCCGGATCCCCTCACTTCTGCAGCCCTGCCTGGTACTGAGCATACAGAGGGACAGAGAGGGGGCCCCCACAAACATGGCATCGATACCCCACTCCCCAATGGGCTGGGCAGAAGCAGCCCCGCTCCCAGAACCACCCCGACTCTCAGGGTTAGGAGAGGGCTGCAGCTCAGAGACAGGAGGGAGGTGCCCAGGCCCCAGCGTCCTTCCTCCCAGGCCCGGCTCTGTCGCCCCTCGAGGGGCTGGTCAGAGAAGGGGTATGGGGGGCCCGTGCTTGGTTTAATGCCTGCTATTGCCGTCTTGAAATTCTAACCATTTCTGTACAAGAGGCTGCACGTTTTCTGCATGGGCCCTGCACGTTATGGGGCCGGTCCTGGTCAGGGGGCTCATTGGGTGAGGCCCCCGCGATGGAAGTGGGGTGCTCAGGGAAGCTCCCAGGCCTTGGCAGCCCGTCGGTCCAGTGCCCACTCTCCTGCCTCCACGTTTCCAGCTGGCTCAGAGCCCAGCAGGGGCCCTGGAGTAGCATCGTGAGGCCAGATTCAGAGAGGTCGCAGGGCCCTGCGTGGAATTTTAAGTCGGCCTTTCCTTTGGGAACTGCCAGGCCCGTGTGTATTCTGGAACTGAAAGAGCTGCATTCAAGGTTGTTATGGCCCCGGAGCCGGGATCAGTGGCCGTCAGAGGCTCTCCATCTGTGGGTGTGCGTGTGCGTGTGTGTGCCTCTCCCCTGCCCCTATTTTGCTGGTGTCCTCACCCGGGTTAGGGAAGGGGCTGGGCGGGCACTGAGTCACAGAGATTAGGTGCTACTGGCCCGGCAGGATTCCTGGGCCAGCCTGGGGAAGGGTGTCCCCCCACAACCACAGCGGTTGCCTGGAAGCTGGCCAGAGAGGGTTCTGGAATGCCGGGGAGACCGGTCACAAGCACAGAGGGACCGTGAGGCCTGGGGAGGCACAGGGTCCCTCAGGACCGCCGGGTCCTCACGGTGGTGAAGGTTCAGGAAGGCACACGGCCGCCAGATGGCGCCATCTGCTCCGCGGGCCCCAGCCAGCCGGCCACGTTCCTGCCTCCTGGCCTGAGGCTTCTGGGGAAAGCTTGCAGGGGCCCAGGCCGGCACATAGCCCGGGGGCCACCCTCCCAGGCCCATGAGGGCTGCCTGGTTCTCTGCGCCCGCACCAGTGCGCCCTGCAGCCTTCCTGGCCGGAGGCCCCCTCTGGGAGGGACCTTCGCTGCCCACGGCTCAGGAGGCAGCAAGCCCTTCCTGTGGTCTAACGCCAGTTGTCTGTCCTCTGTGGCCTGACTGGGGACAGGCATCTGTCCTAAACCCAGTCCCCCTTCCAGCCGCCCCTCCAGGGAGCTTCCTTCTAACCACGCCGCTGACCCAGCTCTGCTCTCTCCTTCCGGACACAGGCTTTGCTCCCTCCTGCTGCTCCACACGTCCACTGTCCCTCCCCGTTCGCATCCCTGACCTACTTGACTTTCGAGGGCTGCGGAAGACCCACCTCCTCTAGGAAGCCCTCCCCTGTCCCTCCTGGCCCTCGGACCTGCGCTGCTGTTTGTGCTGGAGTCCCCGCCGGGTCCTCTCCCAGTCCAGCAGCCCAGCTCACCCAGGCGGAGGAGCAGCTGGGTCTCCTCCTGTGGGCTTCCCTGTCAGCCTGGGCAGCTCTATTAAAGCTTTGCTAACTAACCCGTCCACCTTCGGGCCGACTGGAATTCTTTGTGCTTTGATGGAAGCAAGTTTCTGTGGGCCTTCCTTGGGAAAAGCAAGGTTGGGGGTGGCGGCCTCCCCAGGTGTAGCGCGTTCTCACCTGACGCCTGACTGTGGCCCGACTGGCCTCCAGGCCTTCCTCTCGGACCCAGGCACCTGCGGGCAGTGCTCAGAGGCCGTGGCCGGAGCCCAGCATTCTTGGCCTCTAGCGACTGGGAAGTTCTTGGTGGGTGAGAGGGTGTGGGAGGCAGGACTTCGGGGAGCCCCACCTCAGGGCCGGAACTGCTGGCCCTCAGGGCCGGGGAACTCCCTTGGGAGGAGGGTGCCTTCCGCGAGAGACCCAGGCACCGGGCATTGGGGCCCGGCCCACCACCGGGGTCCCCTGGAGATGGGGCATCTTGAGTCCTCCCTGAGGCCTTGCAAAGGGGATGATAGGCCTTTCAGGCTGAACTTCGGGTGGGGTAGGGAAACGGAGGTCAGCCTGGACTGCACCTCAAACAGAGTGCCCTGAGTCAGGGGGGCGTCTGGGTTGGAGGGAGAATGGCTTTCTGGTGGCTCTGGAACCGAGCACATGGAGTCCCAGCGCCCAGCAAGGCGAGCTGTGGGTGCTGCTTCCCGGGCGCTGCCCTGGGTGTGCTGGGCAGGGCCGGCGGGTGACACCCTCCCCAGGCAACTCTCTGGGCCTGCTTGGCCCTGCTGCTGCCCAGACTGCTGGAGCCCAGAGAACCTTCTGGAGGTGTTCTGGGTTTATGCCTCAGCCTGCGGCTGGGCTGGCCCTGCCCCAGTGTTCCTGCCGAGCCAGTGGGCCAGAAGTCCTTGCTCCCGCAGCCCCAGCACCTCTGGCTTCAGTGGGCTCAGCTGGGCCGGTAGTCTGAGTTCCTGCTCTTGGCTCCGGCCGATTTATCTGGTCCAGTCACTCTGGGTCAGGTCTCTCCCCTGGGCCCAGCACTGAGTGGCCCTCCCAGGCCAGGGTGTCTCTTGGAAGCCATTATCGGCTGGTGGCCAGACGTGGAACTGGTTAATGCTTAACTGGGAGGCTGCTACACCAGGGCTGCCAAGGGCTGGGGGCAGGACTTCCGGAAGACTCAGCCCAGGCTCTCAGTCTGCTCTGGGGACACAGCGTGTGCCCATGCTGGCCACAAGACGCTCAGGGGGCAAATGGCACGTGGGGAACATGTATATCCCTCCGGGCCAGTGTTCCCCTGGGCAGGCCCGGGCCTCCCTCCAAGCCCCACCCAGTGATGCGGTTTGGAAGAAGCGTGTAACACAGGAGCCAGGAGCGGTCCAGCACAGCTCTGGGGCCACAGAGGAGGCCTGTGGGGGTCAGCAGGGCACGCTGGCAAGCAGGCGCCCTACTCTGGGGGAGACGCATGGGCAGGGCGCCATGCCAGCACCGTGTGCTGTGGGGGCCTAGAGCGCAGCTGAGCACGTGTACCCCGCGTGCCGCCCAGCCGGCTGTGTAGGGCCTTTGTGCCTTTCCCAGGATACGGGCGCCCCCGTGGCGAGACGGCGTCTGAGGTTCCAGGGCAGGAAGGAAAACCAAACAGAGCTGGCAGCCCCAGGCCGGCCCTGCGGGCCCCCAGACGGCCGCTTGGCAGCCAAGGCCACGTGGAGACCCTGGCGGGTGGGGCTCCTGGACCGGGGCTTTCTCTGGGGTGGCCTGGGGGATGTTTGAGGTTGGAAGGCAGGGAAAGTGCTGGCTCGCGGTGCCGGGAGCTGCTGGCGTGCAACTGTGGGACGTGCAGGCACAGCACATGTGCACCCTGCCCACTCTGACCCCGGCCACCGGCACCCTGTTCGTGTGGGCCCAGGAAAGCTAAGGCCCAGCGCTCAGCTCGCCACAGTCCTCTGTGGACCAGGAAACCCTGTGCCCACTCCCTGGGCCTCAGCCAAGGCCAGTCACCCTTGATTCAGGCTGTCTACGTTCTCTTCATCTGGGGAGACTGCACCCCATAATCTAAACAACTGGGGAGCCTGCACCCCATCAACCAAACATCTGGAGAGCCTGCAACCCATTATCTGAGCACTTGGGGAGCCCGTACCCTACTCTTCTGGATATTGGCATCGTGGTACTGGTTCCTTCATCTTCTGAGTCTGTGTGCTTGTCTTTGAGTATGGACTTCTGGGGATGTGAATTCCACTTTTGGGGGTTTCTGGGTGAATTATATGCTCTTCACCTGGAAATCAAGGGAACACACCTCGCCATCTGACTGCGTGTGCTAACACACTCACCAAATGGCTCCAGCCCCCCATGTCAGAGAACTGGGGTCCCCTGTGACCCAGGCATTGGGGTCCCTCCTGGGTCTGCTGGCACCCCTCCCCATTGTTGTATCTCCAAAGGTCTCCAGGACCCCGGCGGCCAGGGCCTGGGTCCTCTGCAGCTTTGAGGGGCCCCATTCATCCAGGGCACCCCTTTTCCCCACTCCTGAGACTACCTGGGGACATACCTAAGCCCCTGAACCTCCATTCAGGCTTCTCCCCTCGCATCCAAGCTCCGGGCACTGAGACTCTGCTGTGTGGTCACCAGGGTGCCTGGACAGCTTGTACCAGCTTGCTGGGCCCCTGGGTGCCTGAATCCCCCACCGACACGTCTCGCTTGGCCTGCGTGCCAGGCCAGGCCGGTGGCCTCGGTCCCGCGGTTTCGACGCCCGTGCTCCATCCGGCCCCTCTGCCTGTGTGGGTCTCATTCAATCCTGTCTCGGGTCCTCTATGTGCTATTCATTCGTGGGCTGGGCTGACTGCCCGCCCCGCCACCCAGGTGTCTGGGACGCCCTACCTATGTCTCCAAAGGGGGGTTCCCACCCCAGCTATGTCTGAGGCCTGTACCCCACTAGTCTGAGCATCTGAGGGTCCTGTGCCCCATGAGCCTGAATGTGGGGTCCTGTACCCCACTAGTCAGTGTCTGGGGTACCACACCCCACTCTGCTGAAGAGCTGAACTGTGCATGCCACGTTGCCTTAGGACCTACATCCTGATGCGTCTGTCACCCAGGACTTGCAGACTCTGCTCTTGGGGTCCTGGGTTCTGAACCCCATTCTCTGGAGAATTGGGGTGACTTATATGTCATCCAGTCTGCTCAGCCATTCTGTAGCTTAGATAATGTAACTCGGTTAGACTGAGAAACTGGGGACCTAGTATCGTATCCCATGTGTGTGGGCATCGGGGCAACATTACCCCACAATGTAAGCATCTGAGCACCTGGCACCGCAGGTGTGGGGATACCTGGGGATTTGATGGCTCTTTCTCGTCCATCTGAGGCTCTCGGTCATCTCAGTGTGGTGCCACTAGGACCCCACCACCCGAATCCTGAGAGGGTCTGGGTGGCTTTGCACATCCCTGCACCCTGCACCTCAAGGTCAACAGACCCAACCTCGTTTACCTGAGCACACGGAGGCCCGATGCCTGTCATCCTGAACTGGTGGATTCTGCCACCTTCCTCTGAGCATAGGTCTGGACCACTTGTCCCCATCCCCTCAGTCTAAATGCAACCTGGACCCTCTTGGCATGCAGGCTCAGGCCTCAGGGGCCCCATGGCTTCGAGTCTCACGTTCTGGTCCACGACTTTCTGAGTATCTGGGCAGCCCGTGCCCCACTCCTCCAAATAGATCGGTAACAAGGGCTTCAACTGCCAACTTCACAGGCGCTCTGCCCCTTGGGTTCCAGGGCCTCTGGGCAGTCCAACCCCTATCACCCGAGAGTCACAGTGTCGTCCCAAACCTCTGTTCCCCTCAAGGTGCCTGATCCCCCTCCATTGGGGTCTCAGGCAGCCTAACCTCCCACTGCCTGCCTTTCACGCAGGCCCATGCCCAGCGCTTGGCCCACTGGTTCGTTCTAAGTTCCACCGAGTCTTTGGATGCCTGGTGCCCTCTCATGGTGTCCCGGCCTGTGTGATTCCGTTCATGCTGCTCTGCGTCTCTGCCAGGTTCGTGCATGACTCCGGGCAGGCAGCTCCTCACCGTCCAAGCACCTGGGGGTCTGTGCCCTTCCCCTGGGGGTCTGAAGCCTCCACAGCCCCTGCAGCATTTGAGGGGTGTGAGTCCCTCATGCAAGGCCCCCACAACCCCACTCATGACCGTGAAGTCCGATCCCAGAACCCCATGGGTCTGTGGGCTGGTGATGCGTCGTCTTACTATAAACGTCCAGACGCTCACTTGCACGCCCAGGTTCTGTGGTTTGCACCCCACTCCTGAGTGCTTGGATCACATGTAGTCTGAATTTTGGGGTGCTCTGTTCCCCATTCACCAGGGACTTTAGCAGTGTGTACTCTCAGCTAGGCCCATGTCCCAGGTCGCAGGCTGCTGATGGCCAGTTCCAAATTCCACTGCGTCTTTGGACGCCCAGCGCCCATTCAAGGGTGTCCCGGCCTGTGTGAGCCCATTCATCCCGTCCCCCCATCTCTGCCGGGTTCATGCGTGACTCCAGGCAGGCTGCACCCTGTCCGCCCACATCTCAAAGACAGTCTGTGCTTTGTCGTCCCTGTTCCAGGAACAGCCGCCGTGCAGCCAGCAGGCGCATTCCGGGGTTTGGCTGAAAGCCAACGCAAACCTGGTGTTGCTGGCTCTAGCAGCAAATGGGGGCAGGGGCGGGGGTGACCGAGGAGGGAAGAGTGGGACCCTCGGGTGGGGAGCGTGCGATCAAAGACTTCCCTCCACGCTGCATGTCCCGGACAGGCTGCCAGAGGGAGCGGCCGTG